CGGGACAGCTCCCTCCTGCGCGATCTCCGGCAGCGAGCCGGTAACGAGCTGTGCGCGGACTGCGGCGCTGCAGGTAAGAGCATCTCACCTGGACACCTGTCCGTGCTGCAGCTGCTGCGAAAGGCCCAGAGCACGCGCGACACTTCGTAGCAGGCTACACATGCTATGAGATGTATGTAAAATGTGATATTTTAATAATAAAATAATTGTAATATATTTAAATACTTATTTCATCCTATTAATAACATATTTATGTTTATGTATTATTTTAATTTATATTTATTATTACAATTTTAATTATAAAAAAAATATTTATACAAAGTATGTTATATATGATATGATATTATTTGATTATATTTATTTTAATTATATTTATTAAATATTTTTATAGTATAAATATAATATAAATAATTATTCTTTAATATGTTTCATATTTTAATATGATTTATGAAACATTGATTTTTAATTATATTATTAATTGCTATGTACACTTTAATAGCCATAGCGATAAACGTGTGTAAGCTGCTCCAAAGTAATTTCATGCCAAATGAATGTTTATTAGTTACACAGTGACAGGAATCTTTAGCGGTGACCACATGTTTGTGTCTTCATTTGGGGGACTTCTACAGTGTCATTAATGTGATTCAGCACTGCGTATGATGCTCCAGTCACATGTCATCAGTGTGCCTCGCAGGGAAACAACATGGAGCTTTGATTGTCACTGAGCTCTTGTTTCAGGAGCAGATGTGTGTGTGTTTCCACATGATGTGATGATAATAATATGGTGCTTCTGCACTGTATACTAACCCATGCACACACACCGTGTTGGTTAGATGACACACAGCACACATGAGTCACACATGAGGTGTTAAACATGAGTTTGTGGTGGGTTTGAGGGGTGTTGTCAGGGGTGTGAGTGTGTGTGTGTGTGTGTGTGTGTGAGAGTGTGTGTGTGTGTGAGTGAGTGTGTGTGTGTGTGTGAGTCACAGACAGTGGGTGACTCAGCTGTATTCTCAGGTCTTTTACCTGCACAGCATCTTTTCAAGTGTGTGTTTGCTGAGTTTGGGCAACAAAATGTGAATTCCTTCAGAATACAGTATCATACTGTAACTATTTCTCTGCATTGCAACGTTTCGGTACAGTATCACACACACAAGCTTACATACACACCGTCCTATTAAGACTCTAATAATATGGTGACTCTCACAAGAGAGTTCTGGGATTTCCTGACTGTATTACGACTGCAGGCGCTTTACACGGCGTATAACAAGGCGAGACAGACCAAGGAATGTGGCATGAATGACACACGATAGACGCTTGAGATGATTCAGGGTGAACAGGGTTAGAGTAAAAGTAGACGACGTCGTCAACACTTCTGTTTTCCACACTTTCGCTGTATATGTGTAAGCAGGCATGTGTTGAATGATGGAAGACAAGAAAGATGCATGAGCGTGAGTGTCGCTCATCAGGTTTTGTTAATATTTTGAATTAAATTTTCTGTTTTCATTTGAATTTTAGTAATTTTGTTGTCTGTTTTTGTCATTTTTATTAGTGTTTTTTTATGTTTATGTTGTTTTTATTATTTTTTTATGCTTTGTTTAGTTGAGAAATTTTGCCTAGGCTGCTCACTTTTTAAAAAAATATTTTATTTCGTTTAATGTTTATTTTATTTGAGGTTATTATTATTTTATTTTTTTTTGTTTTAGTTGACGATAATAATCCTGTTGGTACCTATAGTCAATACAATATTCAATGCAGTTCACTAAAATAGAAAATATTCAAACTGCATCTTGTTAAAGCTTTAGTAGTTTTTTGTCTGTTTTATTAGTTTTTGTTGTTAAAATATTAATTTTTGCTTTTGTTTTTAAATTATTTTTCAAACTATTTTTCAACTTAAACTAAACAAAAATTATTATTATTTTTTTTTTCAATTAGTGTTTCTTTTATTTCAGTTGACAGACAGAGAGTATCATGGGAGTATTTTTTTTGCAGTATTTGCATGAACAACTTCAACATGAGCTAAAATCTGCATGGGAAATGTTTCACCCTCATGCACATATTTCTATTGACATGACTGGAATTCATAGATGAAATTTTGCTGAGCAATGCTAAATGTGACCATACATTCAGGTTTAGAGAACTGAACAAAACCCTGAAACCTTACAATTAAGTTTGACTATTTGCTATTCATTTTCTAAGTGGGCAGATGATCAAACAGAATAAATAAATAAAGCCCGTAATATCATGGAGACTCAGGTGTAGGAGTAAGCAACCACCTAGCAAATGCCTAAATCACCCTAAAAAACGACCTAGCAACTCCCTAGCAACCACCCAAAACACCCTAGCAACTACACAGCAATGCCCTGGCAACCATCCAAAATGCATCCATCAAGTGTCTTCAGAAAATCTTAAAATCTAGTCAAATCTAGTTATTATTATTATTATTATTATTATTATTATTAAATGTTATTTATTGATTTGTCACAAAATTTAATTATTATTGTCCCGCTCTATATAAATCTGTATATATAAGTATGTATATATATATATTTCCTCATACATACAGTACACTCACATAAAGTGATATATACTACAGCATATTGCGAATCTCAACTGCTTGATGTTTATAACGTTACAAAATGTGACTATATTATCGTCCAGCTCTAATCTGCTAAATGCTACTGTAAGGCATGAAAATATCAAGATATTATACATTTTAACATCATGACTTTCTCTAAAGCTGCTTTGAAACAATGTGCACAAATCACTTTGACTTGACTGTTAATATGTCATCATGGGAATAATTTATAATCCGTTGCATCATTTCAGCTTGGATTTAGTCTTAGTTGATTAGACTTAATTACTTAATTGATTTAGACTTTATCTCTCTCTTGCTCTCACACAGCACAGACACTTTTTGCCTATATTCACACATACACACACACACACACACACACACACAGACGACCGACACATCACACACATGCAAATCATCCACTCGCCGAACACACAAGTGCAAACAGGGCACAAATTCAATTCAATTCAATTCAAGTTTATTTGTACAGTGCTTTTCACGATACAAATCAATGCAAAGCAACTTTACAGCAAATTAAGTTTCTACAATAGCAAGAGATACGATAGATTTCTTTTGCATATCTGACAGTGTAACCTAAAAAATGCTTTATATTTATTGTAAAGTATTGTGATCTGAGCAATCAAACCACATTTGAAGGTAGTCAGGCCAGTTTGAATCATTTCCAGTCTGGTTGTTTTTGTCGATCCAGTTGACCGGTTCACAAAAGTGTTATGTATGATACATTCTCAAATCTGATTTAAACACCAAGAATGATAACTATAACGGTAGCACTTTATTTTACAGTCCTGTTCCACATGTAAATACTGTGTGCTTATTATAGTGATTACAATAACTGGGTAATAACAAGGTACTAACCCTGAACCTTCCCCTAAACCTAACCTTAACCAATGTAGTTACCTTATATTACCCAGTACTTTCTTAGGTATGTACATTGTAAGTACACATAAGTACACGTACTGTAAAATAAAGTGCAACCACTATAACAATAAATGGGAAATGTTGGCGTGTCAACTAGCTGAAATAAAATAAGTTAAAATTTTATTATGTTAACATGAATATTTCATTTTTAATTTCAGTTAATAATCAGCAAATAACATATTTCAATCAAATCTATCATATGGGTTCTGTAGACTACGCTGAAAAAAAATTGGTAACCTAAAAATGGTAACATCTAAATTAACTGGTTTTATTCAAGTCAAAAATATGATCTAATGTTGCTGAATCAACCTAAATACATAAATTTATACCACTAAAACTACTTAATGTGGGTTGTTGAATCATGTAGAAATAGCTCTTTAAAGTAACAACGTCCGGTTACCACTTTTATAGTGTATATATAGTGTATACAGTTGTTGTATTTGCATTTTTATGGTGCTTTTGTGTCCGCTCAGGCTTCAGTGTAACTGCATTGAAAAGAGCAGCAGCACATTTTTAAAAATGTCTCATTTTGAGTTTCACAGACGAAAGAACGTCATACGGGTTTGGAATGATGTAAGAGTGAGTAAACAATGACAGTGAATTATAATTCGATCCCTGTGCCTTTAAGACCAAGTGTAGACAAATCTGTGCCATTGTGCTCACGAATGTGTTTAACGAGCTGTGAAACAGTCTGGTAACTCTATGAGTATATGAGTAACCAGTCACATTGGCAGCTGGTTTTAAGGTGTGTAGTCTGGTCGCTGACGGAGCCACACCTTGATCAGCAGATAACCGGTCAAGAATACAAACTAAAAGTGGGTGAAAGGCAAAACAAAGTCCGTTTCATTTGATCACAAGCCTCTCTATCTTCTTTCTTCCTTTCTGCTGCTATCTCCAATCGCCCCTCTTTCTCGTTCAAACAATGACCTCACTGTTTTTGGTTTATTTTCGCACACTGAGTGTTAGATACACACTCGTATGACACGGTTTCTCATGGATTGCGTCACTTGAAGTCAAAAAACCTGACTTTCTGTTTCTGCCAGTTTTGTCACAGTCGACACTCCCATGCCAGCCTCAGGCTGCTCGACTCAAGGAGTTCCCAGCGTTTAGCAACACTCGCACCTGAAGTGTCTCAAACTCACAGTTCCGCTGAGATCGTGACACAAATGTGAGCTGTTTGTGCATGTGTTCAGAGAGAGCGTGTATGTGTGAGCTGTAGGTGACATTACAGACCTTCCTGTCGCCCTCGTATTATATTGAACATTTCATCTGAGACTTGCAGGTTTAATTGTTATAACCTCTGTGGTGTGAATGTAGTTTTGAAACCACTTAGACCTCAGCTTTAACCGTGAAGGGAATAGAAACACACAGACGTAACCAGTTGTTAAAGAGGTTTTGCTGCAGTTCTCGGTTAGTGTTCAGTATTTTGGCCTCCACAAGAGGTCTGTCTATAGATGCATGTAAAAATAAATGGTATAGCTATGACTTTATTGGCTGTGTGCCAATTTGCATATTATCTGAAATAGTAAGCAAGAATAGAATTAGTGCAAAATGCTTGAGGGTGCACATATAATGCACTATTTCTGAGTTTTTTTTTTAACTAATATTGCATATGAATTTAAAAATAACATTTCTATCATCATTTATTCACTGTTTCAAATGCATTTGACTTCTTCTATAGAGCACAAAAAGACATGTTTAATATATCCCAGGCTCATTGGAAAAATGTGTTACTTTCTACCAAAAATGTACCCAGCTGAAATGACCACCAGTGGCAGTAAAACACCAACAACCTTTATTCCTTTTCACACAGATTATGATTACAGTGGCAGATTGTTGTTTAATAAATACTGATTTCTGTGCACAATACTATGTTATGAGCTCATAACACTTTTACCATAGTGCATGATTTGTAAACTAACACATTTTGATGTTTGCATCTCATAAGCAGCTCCATATGTGTGTCTTTTCTGATGTAGTAAACTTGCTCGGTAGCGCACCCGGTGCAGCATTGCACTTGTGATGAGAAGCGCTCGGGTACGAGTCCGTCAAACACCAGTCACGATAAAAGAGCTCAGAGACTTGTAGAAGCAAGATAAAATGACCTGGTTGCTTGAGCACATGTGTTTTTAACTCACGTTTGCTTTTATTTACACTATCGGTTTAGGGTCAGGTTTAGTTATGTTCTTTTCAAACGTGATAGAGCATTAAACTCTGCAAAACATACAACAACCATCATAATAAATGTTGCCAGATTGATGTTCATCAGTTTCAGGTAAACTGAACATGCTTTTAGCGCGACTCACTGGACATTTCACTTTGAAAGTGTTGAGAAACATGCGAGAAGCAACATAGTATCATTTTGCATTTTATCATTTTCCAATGAACAAAAATCATTTGCTGGTGACTTTTTAAATGCAATTATAATCAATGCAATGTGGAAAAAAAAGAATGAGTTAGTTTATGTTTAACCTGTGTAATCCAAATGCATGGAAATTTTATATGCAATTCAAATCACTCAAATTTTTGGAGTGATGGTGTAATATTATGTCCCAAGAGTGGAGTATTTCTTTTGCTACACACTTGAAAGGATGAGCTTCTTTCCCTTCACCAGCAAATTCATACTTCATTTAAGTATGCAAATTGGGATGCAGTTATTGCGCCTCGCATATTTGTAAAGCTTCTTCCTTCCTTCTTTCTTCCTCAGAGCCGGATTGGGTGTCCGTGACGCTGGGTGTGTTCGTGTGTCAGGGATGCTCGCTCATCCACAGAAGCATTGAAAGCCTCAGCCAGGTGAAGTCAGTGCTGCAGGACACATTTGAAGATAAAGAAATCGAGGTGAGTCACAGACGATCCACGGGCAGGTTTTTTTTCCAGGGCTGGATGTGCTGCAGAAACGCAGCTCTTTCTGATCTCCTGAATACCATCCAAATCTGCAGTAATCTCAAGAGCTACAGAGATTGATTGGATCTTTGCCTATTTAAAAGATTGAGGATGCAAACCATTAGGGCTCAACATGAGCTTGGGAATCTAAAGAGAGCTGATGTTTGTGATAATCTGAACAGAGACGTGATGGACTGAGCCATCAAAACGTTGAATAATGAAGAGGTGCACAAGTAAATGGAGCATTAAATTAAAACTGCCTATTTAACAGGTCTGAATAATTAGTGGTGCTTGCTTATGCTCAAATCAGACGTTTCACTTGGTCGATGATGAAACAGGCAAAAAAATCCCATACAATTACATATCAAATCGCATTAACTTACAACTTTACAGTATCAAGGCAGCAAGATTTGCATAGGAAAGCAACACTCACATTTTCTACAGAACTTGCAATCTTTTAGAAATTAATACAATTAGTTAAATAATAATAATATACAATAAGGTCTGATTTGTTTAAATTGAACTAACACTTTTTATTGTTACTTAAAGGGGTCATATGATGCTTTTTTAAAGATCATTATTTTGTGCATTTGGTGTAACAGAATATGTTGACATGCTTTAATGTTAAAAAAACACATTATTTTTCAAATACTGTACATTATTGTAGGTCCTCTATGCCCCGCCTCTCTCAAACGCTTCGTTTTCTACAAAGTCCCTCCTTCCGACAAGCGCAGTCTGCTCTGATTGGCCAGCTGACCCAGTGCATTGTGATTGGCCGAACAAATCGCATCATATGACCCCTTTAAAAGTTACATACATTTTTTTTATGTTACTTAATTAAAATGCTCATGTTCACATGAGTTCAGTGCATTAATTAATGTTAACAGATACAACTTTTCATGTTAAAATGTATTAATAAATGTTGAGATTAACATTAGATAAGATTAAAGGAATAGTTCATCAAAAAAATTAAAAATTTGCTGGAAACGTCCTCACGCTCAGGCCATCCCAGATCAGGATGAGTTTGTTTCTTCATCAGGTTTGTAGAAATGTAGCATTGCATCAGTGTCTCACAGCTCTAAACAAATATGTGGCTGGATTTTGATGTGAGAGACAACAGGAGATGGACTTTTTCACTGGAGGAAGCGTTATCATGGATTATATACTCATATTTTATTTAAAAACGTCTTAATGCTGGATTTGTTTCAGCTTTTGTCTTCTCCAGATGTTAACTGATGGACTGGAGTGCTGTGGATTACTTGTGGATTATCGTGATGTTTTTATCAGCTGTTTGGACTCTCATTCTGACGGCACCCATTCACTGCAGAGCATCCATTGCTGAGACACTGATGCAATGCTACATTTCTACAAATCTGATGAAGAAACAAACAAAAAAAGCACATTTTCATTTTTGGGTGAACTGTTCTTTTAATAAATGCTATGGAAGTATTGCTCACTGTTCGTTCATGTTAACTAACGTTAACAAATATTGGAATGTGTTATCTATTTGTTTAATATTGTGCCTGTAAACCATGCAATGCATTCTCTTCCTCTAGTTTATCACATCTATGGGGAATGAAGCAGCAAAGGCCAAGTACGAACAGCAAGCTCCTCCGTTTTATCACCGGCCCTCCCACACAGACTGCAGGTAGGCCTCAAACATCATGATAACCTCAATACTGTACTATGCCAGGCTCGTCCTTTCCCGTTCACTGTTGAGTGCACTTACATTCTTGTTGCTTTAGGGCTCTGGTGGTGTTTGCTTTCTTGTGGTCATTCTGACATTGTGGGGGTTTTTGAGCCGTCACACGCAAACCGTCAGTGGGACTGTTTTCTCACATGGCTTGAGAATGTGGTCCAGTGATGTAGACTTTTACTTCCTTCCTGTTTGTAGGTTGCGTTTCACGATGAGTGGCTTTTTGGCCAAAATATTCTGTTCACATGTGTTCACATGCAATGTAGACATTTCTTTAATGAAAAAAAAAAAGAAAGACCATATTCAAATGCTAAATATGTTAATTGTAACTATTTTTTAGACGAAACGATAATTTTATAGGATGTTACTTGTGATCCTTCTCTAAACTGTAAAAAATGTTTTTTTTTAGTTGTAAAACATACTCCAATAATAATTGTTTGATTTACTAGAAAATATTATTTCAGTGTTTTCTGTTTAATGTATTACTTGGCGTTTCTTTATAATTAATATTCAAATTTAAAAGAAATTTCTGAGTGATTTGTTTCTTCAGTGTGTGGATGGAAAGCTGTTTCCTTCTCTGATTAAAAAAGGTAATTGTAATATAAAGTTTAAAGTAAGAAATAAATTCACATCGTGAAATAAAGTGACAATTACAACCAATGTAGTCATAACTGGATGAAATAAACGTGAAATTATGACGTCACAATTACCTTGTAATTTGTTTTACTCGGTTTAAGCTGTTCAAAATAACTGTGATCTTTCGCAATTTTGGAAATATGTCATTTTACAGAAGTAAAATGAGTGGTGAGTGTTGATTTTAAGGCTCAACGTGGTAAAAAAAAAAAAAAGAGAAAACACATAAAGGCTTTATAAGTATGAGTAATATGCTGATTTTTTATTTTAGTATTTAAATGTCTTTCATGTGGTAATGTCTAAAACAACTGGTTTTATTCAACAAACTAAATCAACCAGACATCAGAGCAGCTTTTCCCAAACAAAGTTTATTGGAGAATGCTTTACAAGAAAATACTTATTTATTGATTTGCTGAAAATGTCCTCACCTTCAGGCCGTCCGAGATTAGGATGAGTTTGTTTCTTCATCAGGTTTGTAGAAATGTAGCATTGCATCAGTGTCTCAGCAATGGATGCTCTGCAGTGAATGGGTGCCGTCAGAATGAGAGGAAGTGATGCTACATTTCTCCAAACCTGATGAAGAAACAAACTCATCTACATCTCGGATGCCCTGATGGTGAGGACGTTTTTAGTTTTGGGTGAACTGTTCCTTTAAGGTTTTAATGTAATATTGACACATGAATTGATGTATTTATCGTTGACAGGATTTTGAGGGAGCAGTGGATCAGAGCCAAGTATGAGAGACAGGAGTTTATACACATCGAGAAACAAGAGCCTTATTCAGCAGGTGAGAGCCTCCTCAAGCTGTTGTTTTTGTGGCTTATGGCACCATGAGTATGAAGTCAGTCTCATTCTCTCATTTCAGCCACATCTCTAGGTGTTTATGTGTTCCTGACTATGCACATTTGAGGTCCATACTGCATCTAACTGGGAGAGTCAGTTTCATTACCACTCAGAATATCCAGTTTCGTGGCTCACAGTCTTATTTATTGGGAAGCGAGATCTGATTGGCTGCCAGTGATCTCATCTTTGATACACACTAGCACACATGCACGCACAAACATACATGCATTTGTGTTCTGTGTTGCATTGCGTGACTTTAATTGTGCTGCATGAGATTTGCTGCTGTGTTTAGACATTCACATTGAAGTCGTTTGCGTGTGTAATGGTGTTTTTGTGGCGGGTGTACAGTTAATAGCATTAGTCATACAGTGTGTGATCTAAATGCTGAAGTATATTGTCTGGAGGCTACAGCGTGGGCATTGGTGATTTTGCAAGACAGAATTCAGTGCTGGCTTGAGACATTCTGTTTCCACCTTCTCACTCTTCCACTTCATTTCTTCTTCTACCCTCTCAGTATTTATTACAATTATTAAGAAGTATTAAAATAGTATGCTTACTATTTAACAGTTTGGGGCCAGTAAGATTTTTTCATGCATTTGAAAGAAGTCTTATCTGCTCACCGAAGCTGCGTTTATTTCATCAAAATTGTGAAATATTATTACAATTTAAAACAGCTTTCTATGTGAATATGTGTTAAAGTGTAATGTATTTCTGTGATGCGCAGCTGTATTTTCAGCATCATTACTCCAGTCTTCAGTGTCACATGTTCTTCAGAAATCATTCTAATATGCTGATTATTAGAAACATTTCTGATTATTATCAATGTTGAAAACAGTAGTGCTGCCCGATATTTTTGTGGAAACCGTGATACATTTTATTTTTCAGGATTCACAGATGAACAGAAAGTTCAATAGAACAGCATTTATTTGAAATAGAAATCTTTTATAACGTTATAAATGTCTTTACTGTTACTTTTGATGTCCTTGATGAATAAAAGTATCAATTTCTTCAAAAAAAAAAAAAACTCTGACCCCCAAACTATATGCATATGTTATTATAATATATACATATATAATTATAATGAATATTTTTGTTACTATACACACACACACACACACACTCTCTCACACACACACACACACATCTCCTGATGAATATAAATATATGATTTTAAATATTAATGATTAATTTATATTAATTAATTCAGAAACATTTATGTATAATAAATAAATATAATGATTTGGCTAATGATGCTTACCAAAACAGTCCCAGTCCACCGGCACCATAAAACTGTAATGTGACTCTAGGGACTTTCTGGTTGGTTCTCAAAATGTTTTGATGTCCAGAAAGTGTGTGTTTATAGCTGAGATATTTCTTTAATCTTCCAGGCGAGAGAACCAAAGGCCATAATGAGGATTGAAACCCTAAATGCTACTTTCCAGCCGGCTAAAATAGGAAACCCCTACGGCCTGCAGATCACCTATCTGAGAGACAACAGCACCAGGAATATCTTTGTGTACCATGAGGACAGTAAGGTATCAGGCCCATCAAATTCCTGTGCTGCTGCTCTTGAAAGTCTTGATGCTTTTCTCCAAAGTAACACAGTTTATCAGTAGACTACAGTACAGTCACTGTCTCTCTCAAGGCCATATTTTGACATTTCAAATGTTTTCTGTGCATAACCATCATTGCATTCAGACTCTTTTTATTCAGAGGATTCATATCAAACTGTTTGTCATTTCATTTTTCCCCCTGAGGTCCACTTATAATGTTTCTTGTTCCCAAACTAGTCATATTTTAGTATTTCATGACCATTTTCCACCCTATCACTAACCCGTATCATTTAATTGCTTGTTTTTGCTTCTGCTTTTAAGACTTTTACGATTTTTACTGCAATATCTAAAGATATTTTAACTGCGCTATTCTTCAAAATAGCCTCTTTGCAAAGTCTATAATTATATTGTGTCAGATTCTGTGCCGCTATATATAATATATGATTAAGGTCATATATTTGACAAAGTTTACCCATATCTTACTTTTATTGTTAGCTGCTTGCCAACTGGAATAACGGTGCCTCCATCACAGGGTTAATACAGTTAACTAAAATTAAAACTGAATCTAACATTAAAACCATAAAAAAAAAAAAAATTATTTGAAATAAAATAATCATTAAAATGAAAAAAACATATTTCAGCTAGCTGCCAGGGTGACATTTCTCATTTTAATTTAGTTTGATTTACTAAAATAAAATAAAAAAAGTAAAAAAAACTATATAGGCATACACCAAAAAAGCCCAAAAACTAAAGCTACTAAAAGTGACAAAAACACACAACAAAATTACTAAAACTTTAAACTGAAATTGGAAAAATAAAAATTGATCTAAAATAATAGCATCTCAATGTTACTAAAATAACATAGCTTTTTCCCCAGTGCTTATTATATATATATATATATGTATATATATATACTGTATATAATCTGGAGCAGTTCTGCTTGTTGGTCAATACAGCGCTTCAACCACAAACATCAGTGGTTTGATCTCTAAAAACACTCTTCCTCTTTCACCACACATAGTGCTTTTTTAACACGGGGCGCTTTATCATGAAGACGAATATTTATCATTGCTTAGAACCTGAAACTAATCGCATCTTGAGATGTAAAGAGGAAGAGCAAGAAGTTGATCTACTGGAGGATCAACACTGCTTTGGCTCTCAGAAGAGATGGAGAGATATTTTCAGGCTGTAATATCATGTGTGGAGGTCAAACAGCAGTTATTGCATCATAAAGCATCCTCTGCTGTGTGTGTCTCTCTCTGTGTGTGTGTGTGTGTGTGTGTCTCTCTGTGCAGGAAATGGTGGACTGGTTCACTGCGATCCGGGCAGCCCGGTTTCATTACCAGAAGGTGGCATTTCCTGGAGCTAATGATGAGGACGTATGTGAATCACATTTCTTCCAGCAGCTGACACATAAAAATGAGTTATGAGCACGAAGCTCACTGTAGTGACTGTGAACATGTGCACTAAATCATGTTTCTCATTCATACACTGCAAACAATCATTTTCTTGTTTAATTCTTGTAGTAAGTCTTGTAGAAACAAATTATATTTACTCAAAAAGCTGAATTACATTAGATATTAAGATGTGTATTCAGAGAATATATCTGAAAGCTTTATAATTGTTTTAAAGCATACATTTAACAAGGTTTATACGGGTAACTATACTTTACTTGAAACCTTTATGTATAATGCATTATGAAATTATTTGTAATGCACCTTATAATGCATTGTATGATCTCATGAATAATTATCAACACATTTATAATACATTGTAATACTTAACTATTCATAGTTACACCTTTAGAAAGTATCATGCATTAAAACACACGACAGATGTAATCTGCAAATATTAGAATGCATTTATTTTAACTTTGATTACAATGTTTTATGAAAAGATTTGTAGTTTATGAATACCTTTATGGTGCCTTAAAGGCTTTGAGTATTTAATTAAAACTATTTAACAAGTCTTATGATACAGTTTTGCTTCTTAATTTGATCTTGTTTTAAATGTAGACATGGAAAACATTTGTTAATACTGATATAATGATTGATTATATTAATAATAATTTCCACCTTTTTAAATATCTGTGCATGTTTAAAGAGCATCCAAATAGTGATATGTTATTGATATGCTTCCTTATTGATATATTTTGTCTGTCTGTGTTTGGTTATGATGTAGCTGGTACCCAGACTGACAAGAAACTTCATGAAGGAGGGTTTCATGGAGAAAACAGGCCCAAGGGTGAGGGTCTTTTTCAGTAAACCTTCAGAAAAGAGATGAAGTCCACCCAATCATGCTTAATTCTGCTAGTTTCGTGCCACGTTTTCTTCTTGCACAATAAATCATTTGAAGTGAAATCAATGATTCATATGCTTTTATGTGTTTATTTGGTAAGTGGCTGTGTAATAAGGCAGATAATGTCCAGTCAGCTGGTCATTATCACAAAATAAAGTCCTCAGGGATGCTACTGAGCTGCTGACTGGACATTATCTCTTCCTAATGCCCTTCTTCACATTGATTCATGCTGGAGTCGTCTCTTTTTTAGCACACAGAGGGCTTTAAGAAAAGATGGTTTACGATGGATGATAGGAGACTAATGTACTTTAAAGATCCCTTGGTGAGTAAAAGTTGATATTTAGACTTTTTTTCTTCTTGTTACATTCCATTTCCAAATTGCCAATTGATATATGGTATTTTATTATATTATACAATGTCATTTATTTTTATTTTTATTATATTAGTAAATGTTAAATATTGTACTACATGTAACATATAGTATGATAAAATATCATTTTTATTATATTAATTATATTAATTATATTATATTAGTATATTACTATATTAGTATATGTTAACTACAAAAATGTAATCATATATATATATTTTTATAATTTTCAATATCATTTTTTTAATTGTAATTTTAAATGTAATATCCTATAATTTATTTTTACTTTTTTTATTATTATAATGTTATATTATGTTGATAATATAATGTAATATGTAGTACTACATTTAACATAGTCTTATATATTATAATGAAATATAATAAATTAAAAATATTATTTTTTAAATAAAATATTATTGTATTATATTATATTATACTATACTCCCTCTTTTAGGATGCATATGCACGTGGCGAGGTGTTCATCGGCAGTAAGGAGAACAGGTATACTGTGGTATCCGGGCTGCCGCCCTCGATCCAGGGATACCACTGGAAGTACGGGATCACCATTGAAACCCCAGACAGGAAGTTCCTGTTTGCTTGTGAAACCGAGGCAGAGCAGAAGGACTGGATCGCAGCCTTTCAGAGAGTCGTCAACCGTCCCATGATGCCGCAGGAGTACGCAGGTACACAAACACACTGAAACAATACAAAGACACTCATCGGAATCGACTGACTGCGTTTCGTTTCTCTTTGCAGTTGAGGCTCATTTCAAGCACAAGCCTTGATGCTGGCTGTAAACCTGCCTGTAAGTGCTGTATGCTGCAGGCGGCACTGACTGGACAATGAACAGCTGTTCTGTCTCATGAAGCGCTCCGGACAGAGCGAGTACCTTCCTATCTTGATTTAGTACTGACTGGACTGTGCTGAAGACGTCTTCATCGTGAGGCTTGCTTATAACCAAAGCAGACGTCCCGGGTTCAGCCGTCAGCCGAGCTACTGTACAAATATGGCATGTGAATGTTGTCCATCGCTCTTAAACATAACATTTAATCTGTAAATCACAAGTACTAAACACCACGGTGCGTTCTGACTGATGTTATTTATTGGATTTTACATGCAAATGCTGCTGTGAAGCTTAGATGATCCCCAGACACTACACAACACCACACCACTCCGAGTGTCTTTTCTGATCATCTAGGGCTTTCGTTTGCCGTTATTGATCATTTAAATGTGTGAAAACCATGTTAGGACACCTATGTATGCGTACTGTATGTGAGCCTGGAGCACAAAAGCAGTCTTAAGTCGCTGGGGTATATTTGTAGCAATAGCCAACCATCAACAATACTACAGCGAGAATAAAAGTTACGCCTTCTTTCTTTGCGTGAACATTTGGGCGGCGTTATGCAAATCTTCCCACATAGTGATGTAGGCATGTGGGGGCGTGTTCGAACGAGGCGTTTTAGGTAGGTGTGGCTGACTCTTAACTTTTATAAAGAATATCTCTTTGGATTTGAGACTTTAGTCTTTGCAACTTTACAGATCTTCTTTATGCACCAAGAGCTTGTAACACTCCAAAGAGAAAGGAAAAAATTAAATTGCATCATATGACCCCTTTAAAGATGATTTTCTCAATATCTTGATTTTTTTGCACCCTCAGATTCCAGATTTTCAAATAGTTGTATCTCGGCCAAATATTGTCCTATCCTAACAAACCATACATCAATGGAAAGATTATTTATTCAACTTTCAGATGATGCATAAATCCCTACCCCTGTGACTGGTTTTGTGCTCCAGGGTCTCCTATGTCTGATTTCTACACATCATATAAAGACGGTTCAGTTCTTGATTTTTTCCTCCTCCACTAGGTGGAAGCATATCACCGATTAAGATGCATGTGCTCATTACTGTTTCTTTTTATGCAGAATAGGGTTCATATTAGCCATAGACTGATATATCGGCCGATATTTGGCCATTTCGAGATTATCTGCTGAAAACCAAGTTCACTTGAGTGAATAAGACTAGTGATAGTTCCCCTTATCTTAGTCAATAGGGAAACTATATTTACGCCTACATTTAAGATTTATATATTTGAATTGCATATAATATTAGTTTTAGCATAAACAAACTAATAAACTTAAGGTGATGCATATTTGTCAGTCATACATAAATGAAATTCTGTAATAGTACTAATAAACTGAATGTGTTTATAACCAGGTTTATATATTTATTAATAAATCAAATTTGTTTAAATAGCTTAATTGAATAAATGTGATTGATTTCACAAATTTATGCAGATTCGAAGCAATTTTAAAAAATGTTTAAATAAAATCAAAAAGATGCAAATAGTTAATAATAAACTGTTTTTTTTTTTTGCATTCAGAAATATGCATCACATTAAGTTTATTAGTTTATGTTAAATCCAAATTTTATTTGCATTTCAAATACATAAATATTAAAAAATGTTATGCAAACTATGCAGCTATTTAATTTAAGCAATCTCATTTGCTGTTATTAAATTGCATTGTGTATATATCGTTCTTGATTTCAGCCAGACTACATGGGTTGACTTGCATTAGAATATTCTACAGATTTTAATAATGGATATGAATGTTTAGGTTGTAATAATAATCAGATCCATATCACAGCTCCTCTAATGTAACTCTGGCCCTCTTGTTCGGGTTATGATGCTATTCAGATGTTTTTCTTCTGATTTGTTTCAAATAAGAGTTAGTGAATGCTAACCAACAAAAACGTATAGCTTTGTTTTTGGGGACTTGTACCGTGGTAAGGATAATGTACAGTCACTCTCGTTCTGTGGCTGCTCATTATTTCAAAATAAACGAAATAAGAGTGGTTTATTTTGTGATAATGACTGTCTGACTGTACATTATCCAGCTTATTATCCAGCTACTTAACACGTAAATAAATATGGGCACATGAAATATTGATTTTGAGTTGAAATAATTTTCTTTTGTTAGAAGAAAGAGACGCAGAAAGAATCGGGTATTTCATGCAGTCGTGTAATAAAAAAGTTTAAATCATTCAGTACTATGGTAAATATCAAAGTATTTGTAAGAGTTCTCTCTCACACACACACACACACACACTCACACACACTCACACACACACACACACACACACAAAGTGAAACTTTTTGTAAGAGTTAGTGTTAGCTTCTTCTGGTCAGAAAATAGCTAAAACAGAGAAAAATATATGTTTTAGGACCAAGAAGATCATCTTACATGAACTCATGAGCTTAAAGCATATGAATCTTTAGTATATGCATTTTTTTTCATGGCAGCAGGGTTATTACAGTAAGCTAAAATTACAATAAAAAAAGAATATGTTGTTAGTAGAAACTAAAGTAACTGAAATTAAATACAAGAAACTTAATTTTATTTTGATTAAGAATAATTTATTATTATTATTATTATTTATTTTCATCTTTTATTATTATCATTTATATTATTGTTATATATAATTAATAAGAATATATTATTATTATTTTACTTGTTTTATTTTAGCTTGTTAGAAAGGAATATAAATTTAATAAAAACTATATGGACATATAAAAAAAAAAACTATATTAAAAAACTATAATTACTAAAAAATGACCAAAACACAAAAAAATGACTAAAACTTTAAAATTAAAATGAAATTACAACTAAATTAAAATAAAAAACTACAGCAATATCTCAATATAATATATGACTATACAGTATAATACAAATTAAATGCATAGAAAATGTATACTTGAAAATATATTGTACTATTTTGTAGTGTGTGTGTGTGTTTGTATGCGTGACTGTATGAGTGTGTGCGTGTGTGTGAGTGTGAGTGTGTGTGTGAGTGTGTGTGTGTGTGTGAGTGTGTGTGTGTGTGTGTG